GACATAATTATCAGTATTTAGTGTCACTAATGTTAAAACACTTTAAAATCAAAAAGGTATTAATAATATTAATACATTCCCAAACTAATATTATTGGTTGAAAAATAATTTATGCACTGGAATTATTAACAGTAAAGATGCACTTCTGAAATGAAAAGTTAATATTTTAATCATAATAATTGCAAGCTACTTTCAGACACACAAATGTGTAAATTAGTATGCTTTAAGCAAAGCTAAAGCAATATAATTTTTTAAAAAATGTTTTCATATAGAGATATTAGTGAATAAAATCCATAAATATATTTTTTTCCTCCATTAGGACAAAGCTCGGCAGCGTAAAGAAGACTTGGATGATTCTCTTCAAGCCCACCAGTACTTTGCTGATGCCAATGAAGCAGAATCGTGGATGAAAGAGAAAGAACCCATTGCTGGAAACCAAGACTTTGGAAAGGATGAAGATTCAGCTGAGGTGAAATATTGAATTCATAACTTTATAAAATTTTAAAGGGATAAAAAAGAAGCTTATTAGCCCATCAAAGATGTCCTTCCAGCTCCCAACTATAACCACCCCTTACTACTCATGTATTCATCCAATCTTTTCTTGAACTCAGTTAAATTTTCTGCCTCCACCACCCTTGAAGGCAGCTCATTCCAGAAGCCAACCACCCTGTTTGAAAATTAATACTATCTAAACTGCAAACGACTCCTATGCTACAAAAATTTGAATTTATGACCCCTTGTCCTATTATTTTCACTGCTAAACACAAAAAAGTTTGATGGATCTATATACCCTTAATAATCTTAAACACCTCAGTAAAATCCCCTCTTACCCTTCTCTTCTCCAGAGAAAACAAGTTTAGAGATTTTAGTCTCTCCTCATAGGACAATCACACCATCCCAGATATCATCCTAGTGGCTCTTCTCTGAGCCTTCTTCAACAATTCAATGTCCTTCTTGAGGATGGGAGGCCAAAACTGTACAAATACAAGTGATCTATACAGTGAAACAATAATATCTCTTGTCTTCTATTCAATAGTTCTATAGATGCTACCCAAAATCCTTCTTTATTGTTAGCTACAATACACTGTTTAGATGACTTAAGTGATTTTTCTATCACAACACCAAGATATTTTTCTTCGATCACAGTATTTCATATATTCCCATTCAAATTGTAACAATAATTTGAATTGTGAAAACCTACATGCATCACTTAACATTTAGGATAGTTAAACATCATCTGCCACATACTGGTCCAATGCATCAGATGATTTAAATCTCCATGTAAGTCTGCAGCATCTTTGATACAGTTAGTCACCCTAAAAATCTTAATGTCATCTGCAAACTTCAAAATTCTGTTAGTCATTCTAGAGTCAATATCATTAATATAAATCAAACAGCAAAGGACCTAGCACAGAGCCCTGAGGCACACTGCTTGTAACTGTGATCCAGTTAGATCTAACTCCATTTATTACTACTCTCTGCTTGCTACTCTCTAGTCAATTTTCTATACAATTTAATAACATTTCCTCCACACCCACAGATTTAATTTTTGTAACAAAGGCACCTTATCAAACGCTTTCTGAAAAACAAGGTGAACCAAATCCACAGTATTTCCTTCATCAACTTTTGCAGTAACATCCTCAAAGAATGTCAGACGATTTGTTAAACAAGACTTTTCCTTAGTGAAACCATGCTGGCTCTTTGACACTAAGCAATAAATGGTGTAAAGTATGTATTCAAAATTAGTATTGACTTTAAACAGAGAACTGGACAGAAGTTTCTTTCTGCAAGAACAGATTAAACTCACTTTAATGCATAACATTTACTAGTAGTACTTCAATTTTGATAGAGTATTACTGTATGAATATTCCTAAAATAATTAAAATGCTTGTTTATTTTATGGTTTTATACATGATAAATATGTAAATTTTTAACATTTGTTTGCTACCTTTAGTATGATATAGCCATGAGCATATAATTGTTTTTCTATCAACCTTTTTTGAGTTTGTCCCTTTTCTATAAACAGATATATATATGTGTTTTATAAATGAATGTGTAGGCCCTTTTGAAAAAACAAGAAGCACTTATGGCAGACCTGGAGGCTTTTGGCAACACCATATCTGGTTTGAGAGAACAAGCACAAGCCTGTCGTGTAAGTTTTTAGAAACAATTCTGTAAATACATGTTAAACAGTACAATATATCAGTCAATAGACTAGAATGACAGAAGCATGGATATTAACATTGATTTGAAAGGGGAATTAATTAAAAATCTATTTATAGCTAACAGTGGAATTGATGAAAATCAAAATAACATTAAAAAAACACATGCATGATTATTTGCCATTATAAGATTTTTACACTGTAATATATATTGAATATATTCAAGAGTTACAAAGCTAATAAAATGCTGAAATCAGAGTCTTGCATGAAATTTCAAACATACTATTTAATAAGACAGTTAATAACCCTATTCCAGACATGGCTTCTTTGGTGTAATTGTTTTCTTATAAAATACAACATAAATCTTACTTTTGTTTTACTTTTTAACAGCAACAAGAAACACCTGTGATAGACCAAGCTGGTAAGGAATTTGTTATGGCATTATACGACTATACAGAAAAAAGCCCAAGAGAAGTTTCAATGAAGAAAGGCGATGTGTTGACATTATTGAATAGTAACAATAAGGTATTTCCACTTATTTTTATTTTCATTTGTTACACTACATTAAAAATGTAATCCAGTAAAGATAAGGTATGATATTTCTGGTTTTCACTCTCAGATTGAAGTAAAAATATTGTCAAGTTCTTTCAAATGTTCGTAAAATTTGAATGCTAGGAATATTTACTTTAGAAATACAGTATATTAAAATTTACTTTACTTGCTTATAGAAACATTTGGAGAATTCTCATTTTGTTTTATCTTATTTATATACTTAAACCAATTTTCCAAAATGTTAGAATTCATTTTGAATGATCAAATTTCAAAAAACTTTACAAATCTGGGAAGTTGATCCATTTTCTTAAAGTTGAGAAATGAAGATGGAAACATTTTGCTGAAACACAGGAAAACAATAACTTAGAAAAAAATTAATATTGAACTACATGTATAATACGTTGACCATTCTGTAGTACACTTTAGTATTTCAGACTCTCAGTTTTTTTTTCTCCTTTTTTTGACCTACCAATTCACATGGTTTATAATTTGATGCCATGGTCAAATAAAACATAAAGTTGAAAAGTAAAACTTTTATTTAATGATCATATTACTTTTTTCTGTTGTCTAGGACTGGTGGAAGGTGGAAGTTAACGATCGACAGGGTTTTGTGCCAGCTGCTTATGTAAAAAAAATTGAAGCTGGTCTGTCTGAAAGCCAACAAAACCTTGCTGACACTAACAGTATTTCTGCTAGACAAGCTCAGATTGAAGCTCAGTATGAGAACTTGCTCTCTCTTGGCCGAGAGCGCTGCAGGAAACTGGAAGAGACTTGCAAGGCCTACCAGTTAGTTCGAGAAGCTGCTGAGCTTGCACAATGGATCAAAGACAAGGTAGCTGTTATTGACTTTGGCATTTTTTGAGCTAGTTTATCTTATATTGCTGTAGGAAGGAATTTTTGAGTGGTCAGGCCATTGCCACATTAGAGGTCTTTGAGCATGTCCCCCCAGAAGTTTTTGATAATTTAATGCTATGAGATTGAATCTTGAGCCATTTTAACGACGAATACTACATACACACGACATAATGTATTGAATTAAAAGAAGCAAGTTTTAATGCATAAGTTGTAGCTATAAATGCCATGAAAAACTGGTCAAGCCATAGCCTGACTGACCTTACCATTTCCTATGACTCTGTCTTATTGATTTGCTGAATGCTTGTGAACATATCTTTCACTGCTTTTTTCATTACAGAAGCTGAATACTTAATTATCCATAAACAAGATAAGTTGAGAGCACTAGCACAAGCCGGAGGTTCTGGATTCTCAAACCTATGTCAGGATTCAGTTATTTATCTAAATTTAAAATCGTTATTCACATCTTTTTATCTACTTATGAATGTTATCAAGCAGCAAAAATAAACAAATATTACATTTTTGAAAGTATGGGAAACCTGATGGAAAACCTGATATTTTAATACTGATAATATATAATTATTTTTTCAGGAACAAGTTGCAAACATTCAGGAGGTTGGTGAAGATCTGGAACAAGTTGAGGTGCTTGTGATGTGACAAGAGTATTTCAAGACATTTCTCATAATGCCTCAGAGGAAGAGTATTTTTCTAATTCTTAAACCTTGCAACAGTGCAGTAGAAATAATGTTCAATAAATGAGTGTGTGTTTCAGTGCAAACCCATATAATGGACTGTGCTCTATCCACTGAAAAGAATAAAACCCCGCATTTTAGTGTTGTAAGTCCATAAACTTATCACTGACTCACCAGAGGATCAGTAAATTAGTAAGACTCAGTCTTAGAGCAGTTATTCGATTAATTCAACAAAAAACTCTACAACTTGATATACATATATCTTACTTCAATTTGTGTCTGAATCTTTAAAGCTGCCTCTGTCTGTCCAAGGTTCATTAACTGGGTAGCAATCTCATTCATTTCAGCCAATCGCACTTCATTAGCTTTTAGATCAGACTGAAAATCATCAAACTTCTTTTGAACATATTTAACCTTATTAATATGTACTCCAAAAGCTGATTTTACTTTAAAAAGTAGAAGCTATTAAGCAAAAAGCCAACTCAAATTAATGACAGTGTGCTTTAAATGCTGAGCTTATGAATCTGTCCTGTTCTTTAGATAGTACAAGTTACATTCATTAAAGGTTCAATGAAACCATTCATAAAAAACAAGCTGACTTCATTATATATGCAAGTGCAAAAGCCTAATAAAGTCACTGAAAAACTCGAAAACTTTATACAAGTTTTTCTTCATTATGTAAAAATTGACACTTTTATATGTGTAAGGTCATAGATAATTATTTTATCAGAATATTGTTTGTTCATTATCTTTTCTTTATAAAAGATGATGAAAATTACAATTGTTTTGTTTGTTTTATTGTTAAGCACAAAGCTATACAATGAGCTGTCTATCTAACTTATGTTAATAAAACCAAACTTACTATTGTCATCAGGTATTGTGGGAGGTAAAAGTAAAATAATTTTAAGTGTACATTTTCCATTTTCTTCTATCAGTTTGAAAAGGAGACTAGCAAATAAAAAATTTAGTTATGGTTGTTGTCTCTGTGAACTTATATTTTGTAACAGGTGAGAAAGAAGAGTAAACAATAATTTTTATTTACTGCAGGACTTAAATCAGAAATGGCAAGACCTTCAACATGTTACTTCTGAGAGAGCAACCCAACTTGGTACAGCCCATGAAGTTCAGAGATTCCACCGAGATGTGGATGAAACCAAGGATTGGATACAGGAGAAAGATGAAGCACTGGAAACTGAAGATTATGGACAAGATCTACAAAGTGTGCAGACTTTGCAACGAAAACATGAAGGTTTAGAAAGAGATCTAGCTGCCTTGGGAGACAGGGTATTTTAAATTTACTTTTCCATGATATTCCTTTGAGAATATTGTTTATATGTGACTACTGACAAAAATATTATTATACAAATAGATATTTCAGGTTTAAGGTATAAAATATTTTCTGTTTTTTTTCTTTTAAAAGCTGTTATTTCATCAATTTGTTTTTTTTACTCAAAAATGCCATAGGAGTATAAAGTATATATATATATAAGTATTTTTTTCTTATTGCTCTATCATCCAGTCAAAAATTTACAATAAGAACACATATTTTTAAACATTTGGCTCTATTGTACATCAGTTTAATGTTTATTTCTATGTGTTTATAAACTGTTAATTAAAAAAAGGTTGTGTGATAAACAGTTGCTACCTATATTCATTTTAAAGATGGTGAAAGTGATGAATTAGTATTAATATATGTTACAGAAAAAGTGTATTATACTGAAATAAATCATTGTGTAATGATTTATTATGAAATCTTTTCTGCAAACAAATCAATCAAAACAATTTAGATCAAACAACTCGATGAAACTGCCAGTAGATTGATGCAGACACATCCTGATTCAGCTGAGACAATCTATGTAAAGCAAAAAGAGATAAATGAAGAATGGACACAGTTGACTGCTAAAGCTAATGCTCGCAAGGAAAAGTTGTTGGACTCATATGACCTCCAGCGTTTTTCAGCTGACTACAGGCAGGTTTATTAAAACAAAATTCTTTCTTTTTATTGAGCTATAATTCATAATGGTTTCTAAGCTAATTATATAAAACTGAGCAAAACATGTAGTAAGTGCATGTACCTGTAGTTATGCTTTGTGGTACTTTGTAGTCAAAATCTACCATATATATGAAACTTTTAAAATTAAGTATTTAATCAAAGACCAACAACAATACTCACCCAGAATAATATTTTCTGGAACTAATTCACCAAAATTTATTTGTAAGCAGTGGTAGTTTTCCAAAAATATGATATCTGAGGTTTACAATCAAAAGGTATACAGTCAGCAAAAAATAATTTATTCCCAATAATTTAAAGTTTTCAGGATAATTACAAATTTTTTCCTAATGTAATGATGATTCATTGCTAGTTATTTTGAGAATAAAATAATGTATACATGCACATAACACTAAATAAATAACTAATTAGTTGAGACACATGTATCATCTTACGGTTATATTTCTATAACTTGTACATTTTTCATTAAGCATTTTCTGATGTGGTAAAATATTTATAGCTTTCGTAACTTGAATGCACTTTTCTCAGAAAGGGACAGATTTAAAGAATACTTTCAATTATATTCTCCAATATGTAGGGACCTAACATCATGGATTGGCAGTATGACCAGTTTGGTGTCTTCTGAAGAGTTGGCTAATGATGTCACTGGAGCTGAGGCTCTTTTAGAGCGCCACCAGGTAGAAAGATTAAGAAATGTTCTCTAAAAAAACATTGGTCATTATTACCAACTGCAAACCTTCCTAGTGCATAAGTATTATTTAGTTTATATTTGCATTTTCAGTGTTTTGTTTCTTTATACTTCACTTGATAATTTCGGCCTTCATGGCTAGTTGTGTAATTTATTATTGTTTTACCTTCTCATCAGTTTTATTATTTTATATATTGCTTTTATTTTTCCACATTCTTAATTTAATATAGCTTGGATTATATAATGCCCTTTTTATCAAAATGCTTACGTCATCTTTATTATTTTGCATTATTAATGTCTTTCAAAATGTTCTTTTTTTTATTTCTAACATTTTATTGAAAGATTGAGAAAATAATAAATCAGTACTTTGTTACCATAAATTTGTTATGTGTTAAATACATGGTATGCACTACCACTGATACTAGTACTGTTTTCTATAGAATTACCAGGCAGAGATTGATGTTTTCTATGGCATACCACAGGTACAGGTATCATGAGAACTGCCTTTTGTCTTCTTTTTCTTTTGGATATTTCTTTTTTTTCTGGTTTGATTGATTTTCCACGTACTTACTGACCAAATGTTGCTTATACATACATGTGTACCTCAACACAAAAACATGACACTTTTAGTTGTCATGTTAACAAACAGTTTTTTCTTTTTTCTCTTGAAATCTATAAACTTGTTTTGTTTAAACTATTAAAAGGAATATAATGCTTGTCTAAACACTAGATATTTTCATTTAATTTTAATGCATGAAATTTTTGTTTCTTTTCATGATTTGTTTTTTGTTTTGTTTTTACACATGAAGTTTATTTAATTAATGAAATTCAAACTATAATCAAGTTGTGGATGTTCATGGACAAATTAATATATACCATGTAGCAAAAAAAATTGACTTCTTGTAGCTTTTTGGAAACAACTAATTCCTACCAAAGTATAGTCACTTCTTCTACTTGTTAACTTCAAAAATTTTACCAAAACTCACAATTTCCCCTGATATTTGTTTTTAGAAAAAGCAAAAAATGATTGTCTAATTTATTAGACCTTCGTTCGCATTCTGACATAGGGAAAAATTCTTTTAAATCAGATCCTTAACAGCACATCTTCTCAATTAATATTAGAAATAGTTGATTTTGAACTTGTAGATCAGCTATTCTAGACTAACCTGTGTCTTATTTAATAAGAAAAATTAATTAGTCTTTTATGAAAATAGTGATACAGAGTGAAAATATCTAGATGTGGATGTATAATATTTCTCTTGTATATTAATATTTTTTAATTTAATTTTGTAAAAATCAAGTTTAAGATTTTATGATTTTGTGCAATCATTTACAATTTCTTAAAAGATTGTCTTCAAAAATCAAGCTGAGTATAATAAAAAAGCCTACTTTTTACTTAGTGATATAGAAAAAATACTATTATGTAAAAGTAACATTTAAAAGAGGCTATTCTACAGATATATATATAACGTTATAAAAGATGTATTATAAAGTTATAAAAGATGTACTAAAATCTGCATTATGGTGAACTAAGCTCTTGAGTAGAGTATTACAGAGAGGTTTTAGGATAACATTACTTTATACTTCTTATATAGAAGCATATGTGCAAATGCTGCTTTTCATGTAAATGGGAGTCAGTTTTTAACCATTGGAATTAAAATATGTAAAAATGTTAAAAATCAACAACAAATTTTGCGTTAGAAAAACTGTAGAATACTCTGTTGGTTTAAGGAACATCGAACTGAAATTGATGCTCGATCTGGGACTTTCCAAGCTTTTGATCGTTTTGGACAGCAGCTATTACAAAGTGGCCATTATGCTAGTGTGGAAGTTCAGGAAAAGCTGGAGAAAATGAATGAAGCACATAAAGAACTTGAGAAGTAAGCATGCACATGTATATATTATTATAATAAAATATAGTATATGTATATACATATATATATTGTGTCATATAATAGAATAATTTCTCATTTTGAGAGGAGATGTGGATGAAGATTTGAAGCTAATAAGATGATTCCAAATCTTTCTGAAGTTACAGATCATTTTATTTATAAAAACACTGAAATGGTTCACTATATCTCAATCATCTTGCACAATTTAAAACACTTAAAAATGTATATTGATAGGTAAAATATGAAATATTAAATTATATTAAACAAGACGTGAGTAATTTGCTAAGCATGGTGTAAATAATATAAAAACCTTTTTTCAGAAACTGCATTACACTTAGGAAAGTTTCAGTACTTGTATAATCAGTCATTATTGATTGTATGTTTAATTTTAGTACTTTATGACTACAAAATGCTTGATCTTTTCCACAAAAGCACTTAGGTGGTACTTGCATTTATAAAGCAGCAATTAAAATTTTGAATATCGTATTTTCAACTTTAAGAATTGAAATCTTGCACTTAGTTATGTGTTTCTCTTTGCTTATTTGTTTTTGTATAATAAAAATTACAAGTGAAGTATTTAAGAGCTCGCTTTTAATACTTATGAGTGAGTGATTTATTCATTGTTTTCTTTTTATGGTGATGCCTAATTATGCTAATAGTGCCTTCAAGGACAGAAACAGAACATCGGTATGGTGAGAAAGTCACTTTTATCAAGAAACATGTGTATTGACCATAACAAATCTAACCCAGAAGTATGAGAATAACAAATTGTGTTTCTTGTTTTTAATTATGCATCTTTTAGTGCATGGATTGCCAGACGTATGAAATTAGACCAGTGCCTTGAGCTCCAGCTGTTCTACAGAGACTGCGAACAGGCTGAGAGCTGGATGGCCAGTCGTGAGGCCTTCCTTAGCTCCGATGACATGGGAGGAGACAATGTGGAAGCCTTGATAAAAAAACATGAAGATTTTGACAAAGCTATCAATGTACAAGAGGAAAAAATAACAACCTTGGCACACATGGCTGATCAGCTGATTGCTAGTGACCATTATGATTCAGATGCCATCAGAGAAAAGAAGGAACAGGTGCTTAATAGGCGAGTGCATTTTTTTTTCATCTTGTAATGTTACTTAATTGGACGTCAATTTTGGACCTTTTAAGGTATTTTGTTATTTACTGGAAATTCAGATGTTATACCAATCTTGTGTGTGATGTTATTTATATTGTAAATATTACTATGTACAAAAATCACACTTTTTTAAATATACATTCATTAAACATTCTCTGGATGCCAGGTATAATTTTTTGGGGGTACGATAGGGTGACCTGGGGCTCGGGATTTGAGAAACTCTGCCTATAATATAGAACAGCGTTTCTTAAACTGGGGTCTGCAAGGGTATTCCAGGAAGTTTAGAGTCATGTGAAATTTCACAAAAATATTTAGAAAATATTATTTATAAAACATATTTTTTATGAAATAAAATTTGTATGAATTAAAACAACTAATTTTGGAATACAGCTTTTCATCTACACAGAATCTTGTTTTAAAAACAGAAAATATCGATAGATTTGGGGATCTGCCAAATAATTTTAAATTAAAGGGATCTTCGGATTATTAAAGATTGAGAACTGCTGATACATATTAAGATAAAATATATTTCAATGAATTACGTTTTTCACCTATAGATGGCACCACCTAAAAGAAGCTCTGATTGATAAAAGGTCAAAACTTGGTGAATCCCAGTCTCTACAACAATTTAGTAGAGATGCTGATGAGATAGAAAACTGGATTGCAGAAAAGGTACAAATAGCTAAAGACGAATCCTACAAAGATCCTGCTAATATTCAGGTGAGTAAATTGGAAAAATGTGTAAATAATTTTAATTAAATCCTTTCATCATATAAAGAGAACATTTGTGTGCAGTTAATTTGCCCTTGTATTATTTACATTGTGAACAATATTAAGTAGGATTATTAAGAATTAGCGTTGTTTTAATCAATTTAAGTGTTTATATTTTCAGTGTTATGTAAAAACAGTAAATGAAATATTTCAACTAGATACATAAATATATTGATACTTTTTATTAAAACAACCAAACCAGATTTTACAAGTTTGACACCAGGATCTAATGCAGGATGGAACATGAAATAATCTGTAGGAATAAAACAAGATTTGACATTTTAAAACATATATATATGCACACACACACTTTCAGGTACTGCTTTCAAATATAAAAGTAATGGTCTTAAATACTTTTGTTATGAAAACAAATAATTAAATGAAAAGTATTGTAAAACTGAACCAAAACTTCAATCAACATGTGTGTTTCCAGTAGGATTGATTTTTCATTAATTTTATAGTTTATTTTCCTTGCCTATGTAATATGTATTCTTTTATTCAACTAGATTTTAAGAACTGACTATCACTGTTGGTCTTGAAGTGGATTTTAATTGTATTTTGTTAAAGCTTATTTGAATGATATTTGTTTAACAGAACAAGCATCAGAAACATCAAGCCTTTGAAGCTGAACTTGCTGCTAATGCTGACAGAGTTCAGGCTGTCCTTGGTCTTGGTCAAAACCTGATTGACAAACACCAGTGTGCTGGTTCAGAAGATGCAGTTAAAGCCAGACTTGTCTCCATTGCTGACCAGTGGGAACACCTAACACAGAAATCCTCAGAGAAAAGCTTGAAGCTAAAGGAAGCAAACAAGGAAAGAACATTTAATGCTGCTATGAAAGATCTAGACTTTTGGTTGGGTGAGGTCAGTTTCAACTCTTCACAACACTGGATTATGTTTTTAAACCTTTCATTGAGATTCTGATGTGTACAGTACTGTACATATTTAAAACTGTATAAATCATAGCTTTGGCAAGGATTTTTTGCATCTATATATTGTAAGAAAAAATACTATTACTGTAATTCTGTTTTTAGTTTTTTCTAAACTAAAAATCTTAATTTAGAAACAAGAATTGATGAACATTTCACTGAATAGAATATATTTTATTTAGAATTATTTTTGCCTCTTTATGTCATATTTTCTACAATATAAAGATGAAAAACCATCCTACTGTCATGCCGATATCTCAACTGTTGCAGTACCCATCAACATGCGACTTGCACAAAATGATGGCGCTTTCTGCTGTGACAAACAAGCTTACCTTTTTAACATTCTTCCAGCCATGTACATGTAAAAGATGCACTGCATTAGGCATGTAATTAGATCTGAGAGTAGGTTGGTAGAGATCATGATGGGTTGTATAAGTTAATCAGGTATACATGTGCCCCATGCTTGGTATTGCTGAAGCAAAAAAAGTCATAATCATTGGCTGAAATTCCCCATTACATGTACTTGATTGTCAAGGAGACATATTGACACAACATATCCAAATTTTGTCCAGTCGGACAGCACTCTAATAACCTGCATATTTTACCTGCAGCACATTTCAATTTTGAAAATGCCCAAATTAAACATGCTTCTTCAGTTCAGCAGGCTAACAAAGCCAAAACCAGGAAGACAGCCAAAAGAGAAGACCCAAAACTCATGTGAATATTTCTTGTTAATATCAAATATTTTATAAAAGTCTCACTGTATATATATAAAGAACATTGGATCATTTTATCATTCTTTTCTCCGTCTGTGATGAAGCTGTTCAACATTATTATTTAATACATTTTTTGCCAGATAATAAATACTTTATCACAGAAATTTTATTATGTATTCAGGGATGCTGTAGCTAGTCAGTAATTTTCTTATTTAAATTAAACATATCAATTGTGTGTGTATTAAATGATTCACATTTGATTTTATATACTTAAAACATGCATTTTGATAAATGGATTGTATTTAGGTGTATTGGCTCTCAGATAAAGATGTCTTTGAAACTCTAAAGGCTTATGTAAGCATGTAATATTACAATCCTTATGTAAAAGTCTTCCATATCATGGTCAAATAGCTTTTGTTTTTGGTTGTAGTATTTATAAAGATTGAAAAAGAATGAAAAATTATTGGTTTTATGATAAAGAAATTTAATATTCTCTGTACCCTTCTTGGCATACAGTGTTTGTGTAGAAGGCTTTTGTTGTAAGCATTTGTTACTGTAAGTGTGAAAAATCCATTTGTAGGAACTTATATTATTTTAAACATGTAATCTCTATTTGGTCAGTAGTAAGTTACAGACTTACAGTGATAAAATCTAGCATTTGATTCCCTGCTGTGGACAGACCACAAATATATTGTGTAGCTTTGCACTAAAAACAATTTTACACAGAATTTTTCATTGCTTTAGGTTGATTCTCTACTGGAAACAGAAGACTCAGGCAAGGATTTGGCATCAGTACAAAATCTAATCAAAAAGCATCAGCTGGTAGAAGCTGATATCACTGCTCATGATGACCGTATAAAGGACATGAACAACCTGGCTGACAGTCTGGTGGAATCAGGACAATTTGATTCAACTTCTATACATGAAAGGCGCACTTCAATAAATGAGAGATATGAACGTGTCAAAACACTTGCTGCATATCGTAGGTCTCGACTAGATGAGGCTTACACACTCCATCAGTTCTTCAGGGATATCGCAGATGAAGAATCCTGGATTAAGTAAGGTTTTTCTTTTGTATTTTTTTCACAGGATAAAATGTACAGACAGTAATTAATATATGTCTTGGTAACTAATAATGAAAAAAGCAGTACCTAACCTGAATAATTAATGTGTGTAAATTATGATGAAGTCTAGACTCTATTTATAACAAAAATGGTACATGGAAATTTAGCTGGTAATGTATAAATCAGTTATAATTGTAGTTTTTTTTGCATTCTTGATATTTGTTCATAATTTTTATTTTATTGTTTATTTAAAAGCAGTAATGTTATGTACATAAAATACTTGTTGCTAAATCTTGAATATATTATACCATAACACTTGTTTGTTTTTTCACTTTTCAGATACACTTTTGTATTTAGCTAAATAGTTTCTATAACGGGTTAAAATAAGTTCAGTTTTTTCTAAACTTCTACTAAAAAACAAACATTTTAACACTATGTATAAACATATTTATGTTAAAATGAACAGGGAAAAAAAGCTTTTAGTTAGCTCAGATGATTATGGGCGTGACTTGACTGGAGTCCAGAATCTTCGAAAAAAACACAAGAGATTTGAAGCTGAGCTAGCTTCTCATGAACCAGCCATTCAGGACGTTCAAGAAGCAGGCCAAAAACTAATGGCTGAGTCAAACATTGGTGTGCCTGAAATTGAACAGAGGCTGAAGACTTTGAACCAAGCATGGCAAGAACTTAAAGAGGTCAGTTTACATTTCCTTAGACATTGCCAGCATTATTAATAGCATTTCATTATAATTTGTTAAACTTCTTGGGGAAGATTTTTCTTTTATTAATTTTATGATATTTTCTTAAAAAATATTCTATGGAGATTTAAAGTATAATGTAGTAGATAATATATATTACGTTTTGATGTTGACTACAAGTGTATGTTTTGTCAATTTTAAGATATCAGTATTTGGATACTTATTCTTTTTCTGCCTTGCTCATGTGTAAAATAATTTTTACTCAGATGTCCAGTAAACGAGGTCATAAACTTGAAGAATCACTGACCTACCAGCAGTTCCTTGCTAAAGTTGAAGAAGAAGAAGCCTGGATTTCAGAAAAACAGCAACTTTTATCTGTTGAAGATTATGGTGACAACATGGCTGCTGTACAGGTAATACATTTTAAGCCACTAAAATTGTAAAACTCATTCAATCCCCAAACTGCTAATACTGTATTTTATTTTAATAATCTACCATGAAAGCATATTAACAGTTAAGTGCAAAATCAATGGTACATTCACAGGGTTAAGCATAAAAGTATATAAAAGATTCATAAATAACTTAAATGCAATGAAAACATGTTTATGTAATTAAGTACAAAGAAAACATTAATTGAATAAAATGTTAAAATTAAGTTATATATTTGGAAAGTAATTGTTACCTTTGTGAATGAATTTACAAAGTTTTACTAAATTTAGCTAATATAGCTAATGGGAATGTGCATATGAAGTTTTGTAGGCAAAATGATAATTATAAATGTAACATAAATAATATCACTTTTTATTTATGTAGTCTTACCAAAATGTATAAAACTTGCATATTTTCTATATATATATTTTTTTTATGGAATAAATGGTAATTTGCTGTAAGAAAAGCCTCCCAATGGCTCAGCACTAATTCTGAAGGCTTATTAATATTAAACTTGAGTTTCAATACCCATAGTGGGCACAGCAATGATAACCTATTGTGTAGCTTTGCACTTAACAACAAACAAACAAGCAAAAAAAAGCATGCATTACTTGAAATATTATTCAGTTGAATCTACATATTAACTTTAAGGCATGTGAAATATTAAATTTTCTGTCAAAAAGAAAAAAAATATTAAAACACTATCACTTTGTTTTGGAAATATTAGTTTTACTCTTTTTTTTTGTATTTTAACGTGATTTACTAACCCTTTTAGACCTGTGTGAATTTCTGATACTCATGAACAATTTTCCACCTTGTTGCTTGGTTTAAACAAATACGAGCTCATGTAACTAATTTATTTTATTACTAACTGGTAGCCCCCCAGTGGCATAGCGGTAGGTCTGCAGACATACAACGCTAGAATCTGGGTGTTCGATACCCGTGGTGGGCAGAGCACAGATAGCCCATTGTGTAGCTTTGTGCTTAATTACAAACAACAAACTAACTAACTGGTATGGAATATATATATATATGTGTGTGTGTGTATTGTACTTATCATACCATAACTATTACATCATTGTCTCTTTTTACATTAAAGGTATTTATGCAGATGACTTTACAGTAAATTGAAGCATTGTTCTGAGTATTTCATCTGTTTACAAGTGGTAACATGCATCATAGGATATTTTAACTTAAATAGATGTGTTTTTTTACCTCTTACTTTTTTATTGTAAAAAAATACTAGATACAATAGTATTATAGGCTGTTTGATGGTGAAGTAATTTTGATATGTATGTTTTGCTTTTTCTTGTCTATCTAGAGAATGTTATATTGCTTTCACTGATCTCTTGTTTTGTGAATGATTAAATCTGTAGTGTATAGGAACGTATATACAGTCTTGTGATTAAGCCTTATACAAATACATACTCTAGGCTTAAACTTACTGAAATGTTTAGAGATTTACATTTGTAGCTCCACCTTAGCTTTATCACTACAATGTATTGGCCTTTTCTGTTTCAAAAGTATTTTACAGTTTGATTCTGTAGTATCTGGCTCTGTATCTAAAGCAGCACTGTCAGCATTCTAGACTCGTCTCTTTTCATATTTTGCTTGCATGTCTCATTACCATGCCAACTTGTGTGAAACTCTGATTTTGAATATAATGTCAACACTCATATTTTAGTAATTTTGCACATCTATCTGTTTAGAAGAGCTGGCTTTTGTTTGCCATTTTGCTTTAACAGAATTATATAATAGTAAAAAATAATATTTATATCATCTTAAGTCATGTAAATAGCTTGAAAATGAATACTCCTATATCAATATCAGTGCCATTGCATCCAGTGCATAATTAATTCATCTAAAACTTGGAGTTCAAAAGATTAAGAATTTTTTTATTAATTAGCATGCTTCATCTATTATAGGGGTTGTTGAAGAAGCACGAAGCCTTTGAGTTTGACTTTGCCGTACATCGAGAACGTTGTGGAGATATAGCACAAGCAGGTGAACAGCTTATTGCCGAAGGAAATCACCATGCTGACAACATTCGTCAGCGTCTACAACAACTTCAGGATCGACTGAATGCCTTAGAGGCTGGAACTATTACCAGGAAAGGCAAGCTGAAGGATAATTCTGCTTACTTACAGTTTATGTGGAAAGCTGATGTTGTTGAAAGTTGGATTGGTAAGTGTGTTTACATTTAGCTTCTTGTTAATTGTCTCTTTGTTCACATTATATATCAACCCTGTTGTAGTGAAAGTACTACTTTTCTGAACTCAGGTTTCTTATGCATAAGACAAATATATCAGCGATTGTTCCTTTAGTAACATCTTTTAAATGTTTATTTAGTAAGAAATGTCTCCATATTCCAAATGGATATTGACCATTTTATTTTGTCTAATTTACTTCTAAATATAAAAACGTTTTAGCAAGTCTGTGATCATTTTCATTTGTAACAAACTTTTTATAGTTTTCTGTGTATAGTCCTTTACTCACCACTGATAAACTAAGATACTTTAGTTATTTGAATAACGTGACATAGTAACATAATTAATTATCCATTATTATTTAGCAGACCAACTGATAGTGTTTGTTTTTTTTTGTTAGAATTTTACTAAACTTTCTAGCAATAACTTTTACTTTGCAAAAATGTTTGTGTGTGTGTGTATATATGTTAATGCCAATTGCATCTAAACTGTCCATGATTTGGTTTTCTCTTATGTATTCAGCTTTGTTTTTGTATTATCAAGCAATATATTTTTAAGTTGAATTTTTCCCAAAGTTTTCTAATGAGTCACTTCCTTCTGAAGTTAAATATGTTTCAAAAGGAATTTTATCATATGATGGAGGTGGATTGTTTTTGCTATATGTGTAAAATACACAATTTGCAGGACATTTTTGGCAGGACTCCTTTAATTTCATAAACTTACAAAAACTACAGTGTACAAAAAAGAGACAAAAAAATTAAATTATTTTGTACACTACATAGCATAAGAATATAATAATCATAATTTTGTAATAACTTGAAAGACAGTTACTTCTTTGTATTATATGAGTGAAATTCTTTTAAATCTGAATTGTAGCAAATTAAAACAAATGGCTCTTGACTATACAGATAGGCTTGTTTAGAAATAAAAAATACAAACGTACAAAAATGAAGAAAAAGGCTAATCTAAAATATTAAGTATACCAAGAAAAAAGTTTTGTCTGGAATAGAATAGTCATTATTGAGAAATTTATCTTAGTATTACTAGATAGGAGACAAAATAGTCCATCTGCAAGTTTGTATAGTAATGTACCTTCAAAATAGCTAGAATATAGTGAGGATAAAAAATAACAATAAATGAACTTTTCTTGAAGATAATCAAGAATCTTGAATAGGTATTAACAAAAGGGATAAAAAAGTTTTGTGACCCCTCCTTTCTCTTTCAATTGCAACTGTTAATACTCTTCTGATATATCGCTTTGAACATCTGGTCAGAAAAACAGTTTTTGATAGTGATGCTTAACTTAGAACTATATGGGTGGGCTCTCCATCTTGTGCCCCTTTGGAGAAAGATCCTTGCTTTTAGCCTTTGCCTTGCAGAACTAATCTTAATATATGGCAACATTACTGGCAGAGCTTAAGCAAGCAATTGAGACACAATATAATCATTTGTTGTGTAAATAAATGGAGTTTTCTATAAAGTTGAGGCAATTTATCTGCCTCCTTCTTATGTTTAGTGCTGCCATCTTTATAAGGTGTGTTAATTCTGTTGAGAATGAAGAAATAGACTTAAATTTCTACATGTATGCTGGAAGATATTATTCTATACTAAGTCTTAAATGGACCTACTTTATGGAGACATCCTGAAATAAACAAATTAGTAAAGTATATAATAGCTAGATGTACATTAGTGGAAATAAGTATGGAGACTACACACAGAAACCAATATAAACCATGTATAGCTCATGCCAGCCACCTCACAGATGATACATTTGCTCACAGTAGGGTATTAAAGCTATAGGCCTGGCAATGCCAGGTGGTTAGGGCACTCGACTCGCAATCTGAGGGTCGCAGGTTTGAATCCCCGTCCCACCAAACATACTCGCCCTTTCAGCCATGGGGGCATTATAATGTGATGGTCAATCCCATTATTCATTGGTAAAAGAGTAGCCCAAGAGTTGGCGGTGGGTGGTGATGACTAGCTGCCTTTCCTTTCATCTTACACTGCTAAATTAGGGACGGCTAGCGCAGATAGCCCTCATGCAGCTTTGTGCACAATTAAAAAAACAAACACACAAACATTAAAGCTATATTGGTATGTGGTACTCTGTGACTGATTGCCAAACTGCAAATAAGAATGTACCACACCAGCTTATTGGCTATTTCAGCTGAGCACTCAGTACTACCTTTCCAGATGCATGTATATTGAAGAAAATATTGACCTCCAGGAAGAAAATATGCCATGTGAAACATGTAGCAGTTACCTTTTTCAATGATGATGGTTATGCCATGCAATGAATTTCAGCCAAACTGCATGTGTCAGTGGGTGCTGTATGTAAAATGGTGTAATTGGTTTGGGAAATTAAAACTATGACCTCAAGAATTTCAGAATATGATTTTTTCAAGATAGAAAATGTTCCAAGAAGGATCCAGCCAATAACTTGGCTTCAAGTATAAATGTCTAAGTCACTCTGAAAACAATAAGAAACAAGTTGGCTTAGTGTAGCTTCAATGGACATGTAGCTGCATGGTATTATATCTACAATGGATAGTTACAATCAAATGATAATGCTAAGATAGACTTGATAAGTGTAGTTTGCCAGTGAAGTCAAGTTTGAATTGTTAAGCAATAATCAGTGGCAGAACATTCAGAGAAGGAATGGTTAACACTACCAAAATACAACAGCTGGGGTAGATCCATACATCCTTTGAGTTATATTTCCTCTCATAAAGTGATGATACACTGACAGTAGAAAACTACAAACAGGATTTGATGTACCATGATATTCTACCAGACATGACTAATCGGCCAGGGATATGACTTCAGAATAGTAATCTTACTAATATGCTCAGTGTGATATGAAAGAAAAGAAAATGACTTTGATAGTAAACAGACATTTTGAACACAAAAACCCCTACTTTGTCCTGGACATGTGGTGTTCAGATATGGACATCACTGAGAGAATTTGAGTGTTCATGAATATAACAAATGTCAAGAGATAACCAAGCCACCGGGTGAAGTTTGTGAAACATGCTACAGGAGTTAATTACGGTATCAACCAATATTTGATGAAACAAGTGCCATCTATATATTGGCCAATACTGAACAAGATCATATATAATCATATAATAGTATCACACAAACCATCAGAATAATTATATCAAATATAATTATCTTTAATGTTAATTATTTCAAAATTGAGCACATTTCAACAAGTGAACACTTCATTTGGATGCACTTTCTCAAAAGACTTGCCAGAAGTACTGGTTATTATCAGGAACTCCAAAATTTTGCTTCTCAATTTAAATTCCTTACAATTTCGGCTAAAGATTCATTTGAACATCATTCAGATACGTGTATTTTCAGAATTATTTTTAGACATTATGTAATGTAAAATTGGCAAATTAAAAAATCTTTTTGTGTGTACATTTTTTAATTTTGGCATTAAATCATGTATTAATTAAATACTTGATCAGTATTGTACTATAAGTACAAGTATCATACTTGGTATCAATATTGACAAAAAATAAAAATGGTATTGTTACACCTGTGAATGAACATTAAATGTACTTTTAACAATAAGCTCTTTATATATGGGTGAAGTATCATGTTCTAAAGAAAACTAAAGGTTCACATGGCTTGGCAAGGCCTGGTGGTTTGGAAGCTCAACTCAGGATCAATCACCATCACCAAATTTGCTTGCCCTTTCAGCTGTGGAGGCATTATAATGTGACAGTCAATCCCACTATTCGTTCGTAAAGAGTAATCCACAGGTTGGTGGAAGGTGATATTGACTAGCTGCTTTTCCTCTAGCCTGTTACTTCAAAATTATGAACATTATTGCAGATAACCCTCAAGTAGCCCTGCACAAAACTTAACAAGTAAACAAACAAAGGGTTTACACAACAGATAGTAAGGTATACATATTTTAGACTTTCATTATGAATCAGTCTAGTGTAAATTAAGCTTCTGTGTTCACATTAAATTATACTTTCCTATGTAATGCATATGTTTTACCATTTCTTCATATTTATTTTCACTACTATATGTGCTGCTTTTTTGTTTTCCACAAAAGGTCTTTGAAGATCTTAAAATATTTTTAATAGTCATTACAATGAATCTTACCAGTATAAAAATAAAATGAGCAAATTTGTATTTTGCATATTGGGTATTTTGTGGAATACATTTTGTTCTACTTAAACATATGTATTTTGTTTCTTTGGCAAATAGCGGACAAGGAAGTTCATGTGCGTTCTGAAGATTATGGTCGAGATCTATCCTCAGTTCAGACTCTGCTTACAAAGCAGGTTTGTTTTGTTTCAGTTTTTGAAACCTTAATCTAGTCATGCATTTCAAGTAACATTTGCTATTTATGGAAAAAAACATCATTTCATAGTAATGATTATGGATATTGTAATGATAAGCTGTATCTGTATAATGTTTTTTTGTTAACTGTTTCTACAATTTCCTCATAATTATGTATTTTTGTGGTACTAATTAGGGCCATTTTGACTCATGCAGTATAATTTACATAGTTGCAAAAAATATCTTTGCCTTATGTCTTTGCAAAACATTACAATTGATATAATAAATATCATATTAATCTAATTTTATAGACATTCTCTTTTTGCCTAATATATATTTCTTTATTTCTTTGTATTTGCTGATGAAATAAAAATGTAAATTTGGAGAAGGAACTAGTTTTAAAGTGTCTATTGATTTTCAATCTCTATTCAACTCTGATGTCTAATAAAAAATGAGTAGTGGTATTATTTATTTTATAAACAATTAGGAAACATTTGATGCTGGACTAGCAGCTTTTGAACAGGAAGGAATTCAGAGTATTACACAACTAAAAGAACAGCTTTTGGTAGGAAGCCATGATCAGACCAATGCTATTGTGAAACGTCATGATGACGTTATGACCAGGTGGGTACACTGATGGACAGTAGGTGCTTAGTTGAAAAAGGAAACTTCAAAAACTGTTGAATAATGAAGCCATCCAATTGAGACTTGACTTGTAACTAGATTGAATACTGTGATTTTAAAAGATGAAAAAAAAATGCTTTCTATCGATAAAAACATTTTTATTAGATTTATAAACCAAAATTATCAGAAAAGCATGTCAACTACATTTTTGACAATGAAAGTCAATATAATACTGAGCACCAATATTATAAAATAACCACACAAGTTACATAAAAAACAATTGAAATGAGTTTGAAATCTACAAAAAGTTTTTGTTTTAAAAGTTTTACTAACTAAATAATGGAATTCAAGCAATCACTTTTCTGCAGATTGAAATACAAAATTATTAATAATATCATTGTTCAGTTAATGATAAAAAATCTCTAGCAGTTTACAACCTGTTTATTTTAAATGAGTTATATAGTCATTTTCATACTTATTTTCAACTTGTAAACAAACTTATTTTAGCTGGTATTTATTAGAATTTCTGAAGAATCCCTAAGCATGACAATACCACTTATTCTAAGATTCAAAACTTTAACTATTTTAAGCTTCAAAACACTTGTTTATGAATTTTGTGAATTTCTGAAGTTAATGTAAAATTTAGCTCACAAGGTATTGGCATTTTTTACTCCTAAAACTTTCATAAAACATAGATATCAAAGACTGATTATTAAAGTTTGTTGACTACAACTAAATTTTGCTGTCAACTTCATACTTAAATTAAATTCTTCTCCATTTGTTTTTTTTTTACAATAGTTGTGTAGACTTATTCAAACCATGTATTTGTTTGATTTGTTATAAAAGTGCTTTACTAGAAGCACTAGGGAAGTTTACCCTTTAACTCAGTTGGTAGATCAACTGCCTGGTGCGTGAGAGGTCTCACATGTATCTGAACCACAGAGAAACTGGTGCCCACACTGGGTATCAGTTTTATTTTTGGTTATTTAGTTTTATTTCTTTGCTGCTTGGATTAAAACCTGAAACATTTTGCACACTAGACAAGTTTTCTACCAACTAAGCTAATGGGTTAACACAGTAGTGCTAAAACAATCTTTTTCAATAAATCAATCTACTACTACACTAACATCATACAACCTGTATAATAAGCATACTTTCAATCTTGTTAAATCTCACAATAGTAGATCTTATGTAATTTAAAACTTTCTCTGTGTAACACAGACTTGCATCATTATCATCTAGCTAGATTGAGAAGATTCTAGATGATTTCTTGTAAATGTTTACTTTAATAAGTACATATCTGGTCATTTTATATTATTAGAGAGGTTAGTTTAGTGTTAAAACGTATAATTCAGATCATAATAGTCTTATTCCTCTTTATTTATTTGTGTATGTATATATATATATATATAGGTGGCACAACCTCCTGGCAGCATCAGAGGCCCGTAAACATCGTCTCTTGACTATGCAAGATCAGTTTAAGCAGGTAGGTATAATATATTTTAGCTCAGCTATTCACGTATGGTAAAGAAAATTAACTTATTGAAGTTTCTGTTGCTGTATTTTACTTTCTTAAAATGAGAAGTGAATGTTATGAAATTCGGTAGTTATTTCTGAATAAGGTCAAGTCAATTGTATCTGTTGAAGAAGAAACATTTAATTACATCACATATTAAGCCATTGACTGTGGCTGCTCTAAATGCACATAGAATTTCTGAAAGCCAAAAAACTGTATACAGCAACTTGCATTCAACTGCCAGAGTGGGACCGTACTCTATACAGTGAATCAGCAGTCAATGGGTTAAATAACGTAAACGTAAAACATACACATAATTTACATATTTGTATGTTGCATGTCAGTTTTTGCTAATCTCCTCATCTTTTACAGATTGAAGACCTCTTCTTAACCTTTGCCAAGAAAGCCTCAGCATTTAATAGTTGGTTTGAAAATGTCAGTTTTTGCTAATCTCCTCATCTTTTACAGATTGAAGACCTCTTCTTAACCTTTGCCAAGAAAGCCTCAGCATTTAATAGTTGGTTTGAAAATGTCAGTTTTTGCTAATCTCCTCATCTTTTACAGATTGAAGACCTCTTCTTAACCTTTGCCAAGAAAGCCTCAGCATTTAATAGTTGGTTTGAAAATGTCAGTTTTTGCTAATCTCCTCATCTTTTACAGATTGAAGACCTCTTCTTAACCTTTGCCAAGAAAGCCTCAGCATTTAATAGTTGGTTTAGAAAATGTCAGTTTTTGCTAATCTCCTC